AAGGGTAAACAAAGGAGGAGGCTGCAATGCTTGATAAGAAATGTACTCATTATCTTGCCCATAATTGTAACCCCTCTGTACAGTATGTTCACAAAAAAAATTAAATTAAAAAAAAAACTCTAGTTGGGTAAGATATCCTGGAAATCTGTCCAGCCAGTTCTGTAACCATCAGTTTCCCTGGAGGTGGCTTACAATGTCTTTCTGTTCCTCTCATTCAGTTTTTTAACATGCCAGCCTAATAGTTTCTCAGTACTTTAGGAGCAGCATAATAGAAGAGGTAGATGGGGGGACTTCTAGTTTGATGCATGATCTACCTATTGCCAAATTAATTAACAATGTCAGCAAACTTTTCTGATCTCAAGAGCAGAAAAGGGCCTACTATTTTAGGCCCTTTCTGCTTCTAGTGTAACTACCAGTAAAGCCACTGATGGTCCTTGCTGTCTTCAGTGGATGCTTGGCAGTGACAGAAACATTTCAATTGAAGTTATGGATTGCTGCTGGCTGGGTCAACCAACCCATAGGAGAGATGGAGCTAAAGATTGACTGGGCATTAGTGAGATTTGCCTTTTCCCGCTCAGTTTTGTAAGGAGCTCTTTATTTGGTCTATCGAGTTGATTGTTTTAAATCTAAAAAAAAAAATCAAAAAACTTCTTTTACTAGGGACCTGACATGATATACCATAATGACTTCGAAAGAAACGTTAAACAGTTCATCCTGTCAACGGTGGCTGCCGGGCGCCGACAGACCATGGCAGGTCTTTTTGTCAGGTCAATGAGCTGCTAAAAATTGGCTAAGTTGGACCCTGCCATGATAGGCCGTCGTGCCTCAGAGGAAGTCATTATAGACCATCAAGTAAACAATACACATTTAAAAAAATTACTAATTAGGTTTTGCAGCAATACTTCCCATCCTTAGGGGCTCTACAGTGAGATAATTGACCGCAACGTGAGTTAAGCCTCACTAGCCCAAGGCATGAAGGTTAATTATCATAGTGTTCGGCCCCCAGCAAAGGGGACTGTGGTGATGACATGATGACATTTCAAACGTGGATTGATAGGGTTTGTCTACATAAAACTTTTTGAATGGTGTTGATTAAGGGCAAAGTGATGTGGTGACAATAACAGTTGCCAGGAAGAGAGAATCAGTAACCCCTGAAGAGAGAAACAAGGTACTCTGGAGAAAGACATCAGGAAGCTTCTGGGTCATGAAGTTTGTCAGGATATTAATTGATTTAGAATTATTTCTTGTGGTACCTTGGAATTAGACTCCTTTATATTGCCTGTGATTCTTCATGTGTCATTTCTCATCCTCTGTAATCTCTTGACAGTGTGGTAGTGTATATTTATATGGAATGGATACTGAGTTTCTTTAGAACACAGATTTATGCTGTCTAGCTGTAGGGATATACACTTTACAATAAATGGTATTTTCTGAAAATTCTGTTTAACTTGGAAATTGATGAATAAGTAGATCTCCTTGTAATCTATTTTAATTCAAACAGAGATTTTTTTAAGGAGATGGGTTATGAAGGATAGGAAATAAAAGATACTGCTGAATTGCTTCTTAAATAATTCATTGGAGAAGAGTTAACAGCTTGCAGCTAATTGTCACAATCATTTTGGAGAGTTTTCTCAAGAGGATATATATATATACTATTTTTAAAGAACCAAGTATTCAAAATCTAGCATGTGATTTCACATGTGCACATAAAACCATAGCGCCATAACTCCATACTCGCCAGGAGAGACAAAATATATGCAAATATAGTAGCCATTTTAGCTTTCCTTAGCTAGGAGTGTTCAGAGGAATACACACTGAAAAAAAAGAGGAGATGACATTTTTTTAAAACTATTCTGTTTAAAGCTAATAAATGATCTGCTCTTGAAGACACTTGATAGGTCAAATGTAAATAATTTTCATTAATAAAACTTAAAATTTATGATTGAAATACTAAATTTAACTATTTTAATATAAAGTATTTAAATATTAAGCTTAAATATTGAATACTTGATATTAAGAAATTTAATATTTAAACATTTTTCACATTGAAATACGTTTCATTGTGAAATTTTTGTTTTATATTTTGATGTTAAGATTTAAAAATTGTTCAGCAGCTTAATATCTTTGGCTATAAAGGAAATAAAAATCAAATAGCACTGAGATTTCATTCTCACTCAAGTAAGAATAGCCCCATTATCAAGAATACAAACAATGGCAGGAATGCTGGGAGAAAGAAACACTATTATACCACTTGTAAGAAGGTAAGCTATTGCAACCACTTGAAGATAGTTTGGAGATTCTTCAAAAATTAAACATACAACTACCCTATAATCCAGTAGTTCCATTCTTGGGCATTTATCCCAAGAGTACAATCAGGATTCAGTCTCTTTCACACTTACATTCATTGCTATACTGTTTACCATAGCCAAGTATGGAAACAACTCAAATGCCTGTAATGGATGAGGGAATCAAGAACGTGTGGCATATACATGTGCATATATATATATATATATGTATTTTCATGTATAATTTTACTTATATTCTAGGATGAATAATGTTATGTTACCTGCAGGGAGATGGATGAATTTCAAGAAAATTATGTTAAGTGAAGTAAGTCAAACTAAGAGAGACCAAAGACACATGTTTTCTTTCACACATAAAATAGTTAAATTATAAACATATGTGAAAATGTCATATTCAGGTATATACAAACAAACTGACCAGAGCATGGTGGATACAGGGGAAGAGACAACAAACTTATGAACAACAAATGTACAGTTTAACAAAATGAATACCAGCAAGCTTGAACATGTGTTGGAGGTGAGTCAAGAGAGAGAAGACAAATAGAGAGAGGAAGGCTGGGCAAAAACAGTCACATTTCCAATGTACATAAGTGAAAATGAAATCAGGAAACTTAAGGAGTTAGGGGAGCCAGTTGGGAGAGCTGGGGGGAGAATGATGAACGGGATGAGATTACAACATACTGTACTCATAAACTGACACTGTAGAATTGAAACTCTTAGGTATAACTACTTAAAAGATTTGAAAACAGTTGTAAAAAGAGTTGTAGAACAGTAAAAACCTACAGTCAAGTTGGCAACATACCAATCAATCAATGTAGTTGAAGAAGATGTCACAGAATTTTTTTTCTATGTACATTAACTTATTCAGTAATTTTTCTCTATTGAGTTAACAAGGCAGGTAATCCATATTAGCCAGGCCAAGTTTTGTATTTTGCCTCAGAAGTCTTGGCTTGGCTCTGTAGCACTTTCAATCATGGCATATCAAGTACACATGATTCTGTAGTGCAACCCCAAATATTTCAGACACTACAAACAAACACTTACCTTTCTTGCATGGGTGGAAGTTGAATCCAGCTATTAAATCGGGGATCATATCGGCTGACAAAATTTGTACTGTGCTTTCCTGTAAAAATACATTCAAGACACTTAACACTTGGATTCTTTTGTTGATTTTCACATCTAGCAGTTTTTAAAATAAGGTCTCACTCTTTTCAGGTTTAGTGAACAGATGAATTAAGGAGAATACCTAAGACAGGGCAAGAACTATGGGTCAGAGGAATGAATGCACCCCTTCAAATGCTGTCCTTCTTTTCCTTTTGCTTACTGAATTAGGACAAAACTAAATCAAATATATTGAAAGGAAGTTTGCTTTCTTAACTGGTTTCTGTCATGATATTAGTGTCATGTTCTGGAATTTTTATGTTTTAAAAACACTATTACCTATATATTAGTTATAGAGATGCTTTGTATGGTATATCTCTTTGGAGTCTTTTTAAAAAAATAAATTATTTTTTCTTTTTTCCTGAAAAAAAATAAACTTCTATTTCTATATGTCATCTATCTATCTATCTATCTATCTATCTATCTATCTATCTATCTATCTATCTATCTATCTATCTATCTATCTATCTATCTATCTATCTATCTATCTATCTATCTATCTATCTATCTATCTATCTATCTATCTATCTTTGTGCTGGCCCTGGAGCTTGAACTCAAGACCTGGATACTGTCCCTGGGTTTTTTTGCTCAAGGCAAGTGCTCTACTATTTGAGCCACAGCTCCGCTTCTGGAATTTTTGCTGGTTAATTGAATCTAAGAGTCTCATAGACTTTCTTCTCAGGCTGGCTTCAAATGAGGATCCTCAGATCTCAGCCTCCTAAGTAGCTAGGATCACAGGTGAGAGTCACTGGTGCCTGACTTATTTATTTATTTTAAATTTTATTTTATTGTAAAAATGTTGTACATTTTTATTGTTTATTTATTTATTTATTTTTGTCAGTCGTGGGGCCTGAACTCTGGGCCTGGGTGCTGTCCCTCAGCTCTTCAGCTCAAGGCTAGAACTCTACCACTTGAGCCATAGCTTCACTTCTAACTTTTTCTGCTTATGTGGTGCTGTGGAATCGAACCCAGGGCTTCATGCATACGAGGCAAGCACTCTACCACTGAGCTACCTTCCCAGTCCTTTTATTTATTTTTGAGAGAGGTAAAGTTCACAGCACACTGAGAAGAAAGTGGAAAGATTTCCTTCCTGAATGCCTCCGTCCTGAATCCTGACTAGTTCAGCAACCCCATTATTCAATCCTTAAGGAACCCTATTGTGGCAGCCTTTTATCTGCCCATGGAAATGATCGTAATCACTAAGCTCAGTTTTGTACCATGCATGCCCTGTATGTTTTGTGTGCACAGAGCACAGGTGCTCTGCGGTACACACAAGTATATTGCTGAGAAGGAGAGCAGGAGTCCTCTGAGCTACTTAACCAGCTTATCCTCTCCATTGAGCCTAAGAAGCACATTAATGCCTCCAAGGCATTAATCTTAGTTTGCATACATATTGACATTAAAGCACGAAATGGAAGCAAAGGAGGGTATTACATATTCTGTGTAGTGCTGGAGATGGCAATCATCTTGAGTACCTGAAACCTTAACTCCAAAAGGCTGCCTTTGGTCATATACTAGTAACTAAGTATACATACTGGACTTCACATAGGAATTAACAGATAGAGGTATGTGGTTTTGTGTGTGTGTGTGTGTGTGGGTGTGTATGTGTGTGTGTGCACACACATGTGCACTTATGTATATGCAAATGCATGTACACTCGAACAGGAACACACACATAACCCAATTATTAATTGCAAAAATGTATATGAGCACCTACTGTGTGACTTCTGTGTTTTAAGCTCTGGGAATATACTGGTATAAGAGGACGTTAAGGTTCCTTTTGTTGTGAATGAATTAACCTTTCCCCACAAACCTCGATCCTGGAGCTAGAATTTGGGGCCTGTGTGCTCTCCCTGAAATTTTGTGCTTAAGGCTAGTGTTCTACCACTTGAGCCACAGCTCCTCCTCTGGATTTTTCTGTGTAGTTCACTGGAGTCTCAAGGACTTCCATGTCTGGACTGGCTTCTGACCTCAATCCTTGGATCTCAACCTCCTGATTAGCTAGGATTACAGGCATGACCATCAGTACCCAGCCAATAAACAAACTTTTAAAATAATATCAAATCAAGATGAATGATATACAGACTGATAAAACCAGGATAGATAGCAGAGAGGCCAGTTAAAGAAGTGGTCTCCTGCTTACACCTGCTTACAGATGAAGCTACAAGCACAGATATGCAATGCAAGTCTTGCAGGCAGTAGCTAGACAAGTATAACATCTCTGGATTGGTGATGAGTTCAAAAGCTGCAAGAATGCTGGGGAATGGAAAGAAATCAGAGACAGATCTAGGTCCAGAATACCATGTCCCTTATCAACCAGTATGCAATTTTGTACTTTTGCTTTAAGAATTAACAGGATAAAGTCAATGAAGGTTCTGGAAACATGAAGAATGCAATCCAATTCATCAGTCTGGCTGCTGTGTGAGGTGCAGGAGAGTGTATAAAGGGACCACGGTACACTAGGAGGACTGCAGGAAGCCATTGTAATATTCAAGGAAATAAATGAAGATAATTTGAATAAAGTTGTGGGCAGTCAGCTATGATCAGGTCTGAAATCTATACGCTACACATAGACAAATACAACTACCAGAGGAATTAAATATTGGTATGAGAACAAGTGAGACATTAAGGATCGCAATCAGCTTTTTAATAAATAACTGGAAGGTAGATTATACAATTTGCTAGAGTGAGTAAAACCAAGTAGGAGAAGGCTGGGAGAAGTTTTGAGATCTGTTTGCTATTTAACCTTGATAGATCTATAGGATCTTGAGCAGACAAAATGGACTGAAGGATAGACTAGACTGGCGCAGAAACATTAGCAGGAGAAAAATGGGTTATATGCTGGTAGGGCTGAATCTGAATGATCCCAGAAAGACTCATATGTTGAAGGCTTAGTCACCAAATGGTGGCACTATTGAGAGGTTAAGTAACATAACATGATCAAGGTCACATAACATGGTCAAGTGAAGAGGTAGCATTACCAGAAAAACAATGAATAATACTCCATGAAGGAGTGGGGCAGCATGGAGTATAATCTGAAGATATCCTGTAAAAGTGCCTGATGCTTTAGGAATGGTAATTGAGGGGAAAAGAGAAATGTTGCCTGCCTCCAATACTGTAAAGTACATGGGGTGGGGGGAGTGGGAGGAGCAACCCAAGTGTACAAAAAAGATCGACCAGGAAAATAGTGTTCTCAGAAGATATTCTGGTTATGAGTAGAAAGGAAGCTGGAAAATACATGGCCCCATAGAGAGATAAACAATTGTTGGTTTTTTGATGATGTCAGATGAGGGGAGAGTTGATGGCTGGCTGGAAGATAAATTGAGAGAGGAATGCCAGGAGATAGGACATTTGGATTTCATAGAAGTATACAACTCAAGAAAGGATTATGTCAAGACTGAGTCTGTGCTTACATATGAATTTTTTTTGGAATTTGTGAGGATGTCCCTACAAGAAAAAATATCCTTAATACTCAAGTTCCAAGGTTAATTCTCCAGTGCATCTGAAGATTAGTAATGTCGATGAGAATGTAGAACCTACCCACCCGGTCTAAGAATGTTTTTCTCTATAAAATTTGGTCTAGATTTTCTATTTGAAAGAAAACATCCACAGTGAGGCAGAGAACCCCTCTATAATAGTATTGGGAGAAACTAGCAAAGTTCATTTCTGGTTATTATTTTAGTGGCTGAGACTTGGATAAAGTATTCAGCAGGACCTAGTGTGATATGAATGTGAGATGGCAGACCTTCCAAAGGAGAGTAGTGTGAGAAAGGGAAAGAGATGGAAGACCAGGAAGATGGAAATAAGAAAGATGATTTTCTAGAGTGTCAAAAGAAGATCAGAGGGGGAAATGCCTTTAGTACTTAGTTTACTTTCCGACTACAAAGCTTGGTCTTGCAATCAAGAGCACCAGTAAGTTAAATTCTATTTGTGGCCGATGAGCACATACTTGTGTTTGATGAGCTTGTGTTGAAATGTATAATGTTGTATTTCATTCAAAGTAGAATAGTGAGCAGCTATAGGTTTTATATTTTGGCTTAAACATAGGGATCAGGTTTTATGAGTTGCTGATTAAGATAAGTCTTGGACTCAAGAGATGGGTCATCAGCAGGGACTTGTCCATCATGAGCAAAGCCTGAAGTTTGATCCCCAGCACTGTGAATAAATAGATAGATAAATAAATAAATGAACTGCAGGACACAGTGGCATACTTTAGTTATAGTACTCAGGAGAGGCTGAGAGCTCAAGGCCAGCCTGAGCTATATAACAAACCCTGTTTAAAAGAAAAAAGCAGAAAGTTTCATAGAAATGGTAGGCTCATAGTGTTTTGTTTTTTAGAAAACCCTATGAAAGGATGGCTGGGTTGGGAAAGATGGGGTACAATGATGAAAGAGGTGACACCAATTAAGATGCCTTGTATTCCTAAGCATATTTGTTGAGTGGGTAATTCATTCGTACAACTACTTAAGGATACTAAAAATATATTTCAAAAAAATCACTACAAGTTTTGGTACTGAGACTATGACGTTAATAGAGGCCTTTCCCCTCTCTGGGTATGCTGAGAGAACTCTAGTCTGAACGAGGACTTCCCTACATTTTTCTAATAATGTTTTCAGTTTTAATCTGTCCCTACAAAAGAATGTTGGGCAAATCTTTGCTTAGATAAGTCCAAAGTCTCTATTTACTTACAAACATTCCATACAGTTCTAAGGAAGGATAAGTTAAACAGAAAAAGAGATGGGGAGAGGTTTATAATAGATTGCCTTTTGAGAACATGTCAAATCCATCCTTACAAAGGTAAGGTAGAGAAGAGCTGTTAAACATCATTCTTACTCCTATTCCAAATCTGTTTCTCATAGGACAGAGTGCCTTCTTTCCAATACTGAAAGATGAAATGTAACAAAAGCTGCAAGTCTTGAGAAAGATCTCTTCCCCTTTCTTGACAGAAATGTTTTTGGTGGGCAGTCTGGATTGTTTTCCTTTAAGACTTTCTAGAGTGAACAGATGTTGCTATTTTTATCTATAATTTGCCTTGGTGCAGATGCTGAAAGAGAGCATTCACAATAAAATAGATGCAGTATATGTAATTTCAGCAGGATGTTCTGAGGTTTTAGAGTAAAAATGTGTACCTGCAAGCTGTTTTATGGTTTCTCAGTCATAATGATTTCTGTTACACAGAAGGCTACAACTGCATCTAGACCTTCATGTGCAAGCTTTCCACAAATAACTTGATAATTTTGTGTATTCTGCAAGGCATAGAGCTCTCGTGTTTGGCAGGGAAAGTGACAGACAAAAGAGGTTTAATTTTTCTTTGTAGTATGTTTATGAAATAACCACAGCAATTAGAAAGGTGATGGATACATAGATGGAAGAAGTACTTAGAAAAGGTACAATCACTGGAACGGATCTTTAGTCATATTGTTAGCAAAATAACATCACTTAGAGCTATGAATGGCATGACTGGAGATAATGCTTGCTTATTGCAACTGCGTCGACAAAATGGGAGGGAAGTGGTGAGGAAAGTGAGGAGGATTCTTAACAGCTGCAGCTGGCTACCTTCCTCTGGGGAGTTTGTACTGATGCTTGTGGCTTTCCTCAGGGGACAGAATGGTGAGGGCCTGGGCATCCAAATCCCCAGAGTGTCAGGGAATGAATGCTCAGCTACATACGTTCCTCAGTTGGTTCCATGATTAACCCTCCTCCCATTGTCAGCCCAACTTCCTAACTACTTCATTTGTCTTTATTGCACAAAAATGTATTTTCAATGATGATTACAAAATGAGCCAATCACAGTGTCCTTTAATACAGAGATTTTTTTTTTAAAGCACTTACATGGTTTGAAGGAGTGTCCCATAAAGAACCATGTACCGAAGGCTTGGTTCCCAGGGGATGCTATAGGGAGGTAGTGAAACCTTTAAGAGATGGCCTATTTGGGAGAAGTTCATCGTTTATTGAGGTGATGTCCCCAGTAGGGACTATGGAACCCCCTGCTTGCCTCTCCACCCCCAGACTTAATAATTCAAAACGATCACAATACTCTTACATGCACTTCGGTGGTGACTTGTCACCATGCAATGACCTCACCAGAACTGAAATAATGCAAGTTTATGTTTTTTCTTCCAAAATCGTGAGTTAAATACATCTTCTCTCATTAATATTAGTTGCCTCCAGAATTTCACGACAGTCACATGAAGCCGATTAATCGCAGCACCAACAGTGAAAGTTGCTTAATAGTTACCATTTGGATTCCATTGGTCCTCTCCGCCCAACACGAACAAGAAGTTTTCTACTTCTACAACGCAGTGGTGGGCACTGTTGTATGGCATAACTGGAATTGAGGGGGAGGAAAAAGATGCATAAAATTTCCATCTTAGCACTTGATACCTCAGCACACCAGCTATTTGCTTCACCGAGATGTACAAAATGTGAAATTCAATCAGCAGAAAGAAGACAGCAAAGGCAGCAGAGTGGCTAACCCTCAGATCCACTGGTCCCCATCCACTGTTCAGCTGTGTGTGCCCAGCAGTTTCAAACCCAACCCCTTTTGATTCATTTTACATAATGTTATTCCACAAATTAGTCAAGAACGGCCTGCCATGCTACTTCCCATTCTTAAGTTCTCACCTGCTTGCTGATAGAAATAACATTCTAAAACAGCTACCGACACTCCCAAATGGTCAAGGCTGGCAGTAACTGGAAGAAGTAACTACTGAATATACTTGGAGCCATTAACATGCTCTGCCCAACTTGGTTTGCTGGCAATCTTTCCACAAACAGACTCAGAATGATTGGTAGCTTTCTATTCCACAGCAATGAGCAAGCTGAATTTCCATACAGTTTTAAGTTTTTAAATTAAGGTCCTGCTGACTTAATGCCTTCTCCAAACTTATATGCTTAATTTCTTGTACCATGTCATTAGCAGCACAATCATACATTTTCTACCTATCTGCATAGGAGCTCTTCTGTAACAAAGATGGAAGCTGTCAGGAACACCACAAAAATCTATTCTCCTTGTCTCTTGCTGTCCCCTTGCCCAAATGTGGTGGTGGCTGCGTGGAGGGGACATGATTTGGAAATCCACTAAAGCCAAGTTTCTCTGTATTTGCTATCGTTTGGTCTCCTTTGAGGAGTGACAAAGTACAGAATAGACATGACTGTCACATTTGGTGCAGTGCAGTGCCAGTTGTCTCTGCCATTTTAATCTCCTAAAGTGACTGTAAATGTACATATACGGTGCTAGTTATCGTGTCACATGCAGAGGTGTGGGCCGCCCAGGGACACCAGTAGGAGAAATGATGTCCTTGTTCAGCTCATCATACGGGCACCTTAAATCTAGGTGAGGACAAATGGGGAGGTGATGTGCATGTTCAGGCAGGGAACTTATTGCTTGACACGGATCAACAGAGCACTTAAGAAACCAGTGCAGTGGGAAATCAATATGAGTCCCAGCCAACTCTTATTCTGTGCTCTTTTGCCAATGCAGAGTGGGGGGGGCATCTCATACCCAAATTATTTTCAGTGATATATATCTTACTCATTTCAATTTTATTCTTGTTATCTATTTTTCCTCAAGAATCACATACACTAGCTAAGAGATGTAAATAAAAAGTACTATGAAACTAGCATGACTGTGAGATTGATAACTCTGAAAGGATTTCTAAAATAGCAAATCAGATCAATCAGTTTTTGTATCTCAGGCCTATATGAGTTCTGAGTAATTAATTATCATTAAGTAAGAATACTAATTTTTTTTCTGGAGTTATATTCATATGGGGAGAAGTTATTGGTACAGAAACACCCTGATTTGGGGGTGATATAAATCCTAGATGTCAATGGTGTGCAGGGTCCATGAATTAGATTGATACATCTCAGGAATATTCATAATCTCTCAGTCCTCAGTTTACCTTTTTGGAAAATGCTTTGGGCTGCTTAAATCCTGAGGGCTCCATTATTCAGAATATGTTAAACCATTGAGTTTATTATACAACCAAGGCTGAATATGCTTTGAAGGTTGTTTAAAAAATAATTTGTTATTCTTTGAATTATGATGCTGTTTCCAAACTACCAAACACAGAAGTAGCTGGGTGCTGATAGCTAAAACCTGCAGTCCGAACTACTCAGTAGGCTGAGATATGAGGATTGCAGTTGGAAGCCAACCAGGGAAGAAAAGTTGGTGAGACTCTTTTTTTAAAAAAATATGTATTTTTTATTGTAAAGATACTGTACAGAGGGGTTACATGAGCAAGGTAATGAGTCCGTTTCCTATCAAGCATTGTTACCCACTCCTTTATATAGGGGAAACCCTACCATCCCTTTGTCCCCACCTTCCCAACTCCTTCTGCCCCTCTACCCCCCCCCAAAGTCGTAAAGTTTGATTTTAACATTGTTGAAATTTTACTGTTACAATGGGTCATCCTGTATCCTTATTTCAGCATTTTTACCTCCAATTAACCACCAAAAAGCTGGAAGTGAAGCTATACCTCAAATGGTAGAGCACCAGCCTTGAGGGAAAAAAAACCCTAAGGGACAGTATCCAGACTCTGAGTTTAAGCCCCAGTACCCCCCCCCACACACACACAAAATAAAACTAGGCATCTTTATGTTATTTTATGAATAGCCTAATTGTAGCAGCTTATCAACCAGTGTAAATGTGTGCAGCATTAATTGCCCTCTGTGAGAATTAATTCCATGAGATGTAGTAAAAGAATACAGACTAGCAACTACAATCCACTTACGCTAGAACTACCATGCCTCTTTTATAGTTTTGGTCAGTTTCATGCATAAACACCTTGAAATAATTTAAAATTGCACTTTTCTTCTGTTTAACCACAAGTTTACCAGCTATATAATCAAACACAGTCTTTGAAAATATAACAACACTTGTGTTTTGTTCTTGCTTTTCATTTGCTCCCATCCAGGCAAACAGAAATTAAATGAAGGAAATAATACATGATTTATTTTTAAGCCTCTTTCTCATTTGATTAACCCAATTGTTATGCTTTAGGCAAACAAATGAAACTATTGCACTAAGTTAATTATTGAACTCCTCAAAATAAGAGAAAAAGAAGTCTTTGAAGTCCTAATGTAAAGGACTCCAAGTTATAGTTGGTCATTTATTTGAATATTTTTACCTTTATTTAAAAATCTTGTATGCTATATATATATCTACATAGATATATATAGATATATATATATAGCATACAATATTCTCATTCCTGAATTGTGTTTTCTGAGTTATTGCCATGAATACTTGTGTAAAATGTACAAAAAAACTCTCTACAATCTTTTTGAAAGCAAAACAGTCCCTAACTTATTACATGAGAAAAAAAAATCTGTATTCCAACAGTTTGATTTTTGCAAAAGACCTCATTTCTCCGACTTCTGATTAAACCTGAAAGAAAGCAAAATAAATAGGGCAGCAAGCAGGAGCCAACAATCTGTTTAAAATGGCATTGGTTCCTGGACTTATTGATTCTCTTTTAAATAACACCAAACACACCCCTACTTCTCTGCAGGTTTCTCCAGAGGTGGACACCTGCCTTGGCTTCACGAGCAGGTGGAGAAGGAGGTTTGTACTCCGCATTCATATACAGCCCAGTGTGAGTTTTTAGCGTGTCAGTCAGTGAGTTAGAGGGAAAGGGGAAAGAGAAGCTAATCAGGATGAAATGAGATTAAAGGCTGTCTAATTTTACAGCAACTGTGATCCATCAGCCACTGTGAAAGTGACAGTGGAAATGAATGATGGAGACAGACAGGTGGGGCTGTACATTTCACTGATTTATCCTCAAATGCACTGGGCCTTATTTTATTGAGTGAACATGACCGCATTTATCATGTCTGTCATCTAAAGCCACTTCCCTCCATTTAAAAAGGTCACTTTACTCAGAGGGAGTCGGAGAGAAGCACTTTCAAATCAGATTTTAAATCTAATAACACATGTTTATAAGGTCCTTTGTGAGAATTCTCAACTTTATTACACAAACTAGTAGTGCTAGAAGGAAAAGGGAAATATGCCAGAAAATTTAAAAAGAGAAATCTTTGGTCATCTGAGGGAACCCCTTCCATAAATCTCTCAATTGGAATCAGTGTGTTCCAATCCTATGTTTCCCACTCTGAGTACCCTAAATTTTAATTTTAAAAATTACATTTAATATTTTTTATTAAGAAAGTAGAAAATTGGAGAGTCTCAGTCAGAATGTTTCCTCCGCAGAATGACTAATTATCACACACACAGACAAAACACATGGTAGCAATTGTGAGAAGCTGAATGAATGGTACAATGCATGTCTATACCTGTTCACTGTTTTCACATAATTTTAAGGTCATATAGATATCAATCCACAAGGACTTTTACCCTGCTCTCTACCAGTGCAAAAAAAAAATGTCTGGCAAAGCCGGGTACCTGTGACTCACATCTGTAATCCTACCTACTCAGGAGGCTGAGACCTGAGGATTGAGGTTCAAAGCCAGCCTGGGCAGGACAGTCCGTGAGACTTTTATCTCCAATTAACTGCCAAAAAAAGTCCAGAAATGGAGATGGTGCTCTAGTGGTAGACTACTAGCCTTGAGTGAAAAAAACTCAGCAACAGCATCCAGGCCCTGTGTTCAATCCCCAGGATGGGTGTCCAAGTGCATGGGCATGCACACACACACACACACACACACACACACACACACACACACACACACACACACACCTTGCAATAAGAATAAAAATTCACCTACATATGGCAAAATGTCAGCAACCTAGGATATAGATGACACAATGTGAATGCTCTGTTTAATTCTTTCAAAAGTCCTAAATATGAGAAAATGGTATAAAGCATTTTAATATCACATTATCATTGTGAGATAGTGTATTATTATAAAACAAATGTTTAAGGTATATAAGCTATAATTTCAATCTAGCATCCTTACTACTTGACTTCAAGTGTCTAAAAGTAACTCAGTACAAATAAAACCCAGGTAAACTGAGGGGGTGGTGAGGTTTGGGAAGTGTAAGTGTAAGTGGAGACATTAACCAAGATGCATTGGACATATGTTGAGCTAACTATTTTAAAATAACATAAGTAATCATAAAATAAAGTAAATCAAAGTAATTTAGTACAAAAATTCCTTGCAATGTTATATATACATTGTTCTTTGTGCATGTAAAAATGGAGAATTCAAAACCCTCATTAAACTACATGTTGTTTTTCACAATAATAACCATCAGTTACCAAAAATTTGCCACATCCCACAGATATAAATTAAATACGCAATCTCATTTCCATATTTACATGTGAACATACCACATCATGTGTATCCTCTTCTAGATATTCATTGACC